GGGAAGAGTGAGGTTGTTTTAGCCTACACAATTTGGATATGTTGCGTTTAATTTTTGATAGCTGGAAACGGATGTCAGGTTCTGCATCTAGACAGCTTTGGTATCTAGCTTTGACGGCTGTATAGAAACAAAATCCGGATTCTATTAGGTAAGTTGTGGCAAATGGAAGAAGAACACGTTTTGCTTTTTCAATGAGTGGTTGAAATTTTTTGTTTTCCAGACGAAGTCAAAAATGAGAGTAACTATCGGACTCGAAAATAGATGCCATTCCTGAAGAAAAAAAACATGCAAGGTATAAAGTAAAATATACGGATCTTCGTCAAAATTACGCTGCCGTTTTCTTGTGGTTTATTCTAGAGCGATCAGGAAATTTCTGGGAGTACAACTCGATTAAACGACGCGCAACAACACCAATATCAATAAAGCAGTCGTACATATCAACTCGCTGTTGATAGGAAAAATTTGCTCTTCGGTTCATTTTGAATACTGAATGTAACGAATAGTTACTATTGTAAAATTTATTTATTTCCAGGAATTAAGATTTGCTCTCATAATGCGAGTTTGACAATGTAGAATGTAAACAATAAAAGCAATTAATATTTACTTTAGTGAAAAAGTAAATAATTAGAATTAACATCGAAACAAGCGAAATGCGTTTTTTCAAATTTGTTACAATAGTTTAGTCATTTTTTGACCAATTATTTAAAATACGATTGTACCATTGTTTTCCGCGTAACGAATCCTTCAAACTGATAAATCAAGTCGTACTTGAAAATTTTTAAGTTGAACTGGGTCTGAGGTACCCATTCAAATTTTTCTATAAAAAAGATAAAAATGTGAAACTAGACTAAGAATATTAAAGAGTATATTTTGATAGCGTCATTTGTTCAAGAGAAATTCTGTCTGGCTTTCTAAAAAAGACACTATACAGATCTCGTTTCATAAAAAAATCATAAATTTTTCAATGAAAAATCGTTCTGTAAAAAACGAAAATCCTTGCAAATTTTCACTTACAAAGTGATCCATTAAAGTTTCAACTTATCACTTTAATGAAGCAATATTGATCACTAATGAAAAGAAAGAAAGAGAGGGGAGGAGGAGGAAGTGTGAGAGTGATAGAATGAGAAATAAACTGGAAAAGTAGGGAAAAGCGAGAAATTAATGGTCAAAGTGTGAAAGGGAGAGGAATGAGAGCAAGCAAGCGATAAAGTACGTGAAAGGGTAACTGATTAAATAAATTCATATGTAAGTAAATAGATCGATAGTCGTCAGATAGATAGCGAGATAGTAGATGCCAGAGAGAAAAAAGAATGAGAGAGAAAGAGAAAGACAGAATGAATGAAAGAATTAATGAACGATTTATTCATTGATGACACAACATTTGGTCTCAAAACCCACTCTGACATCTTACTACAACTACTAAGAGTATATATTTACAATAAAATACTCTACATTGTACAGTTTTACTAATTATTTTAAACTATAACTCTTAACATACAACTTGAACTTAACAATAAAAAATAAAATAAAATACCTTTACAGTACAATAAACGGAAAAAGGAAAACCAGATTTATCGACTTTGGTTTATACATAAATACCTACACTTCTGCAAGACTCTCAAGTCTTGCGGGTTTAGTCTTGAGGGTGTCCCCCGACTGCCCTTTCATTTACCACATATATAAGTTATGTGCGAGATTTAGACGAAAGACTTTTTAAAAAAAGAATCTTTATTGCCAAATAACACCCAATGGTTACAGAGAATAACTTTCCTATGCACGGTACAGATTATTCTATAACAATTAAATATTCGGATCTTTACTGTCCGTTAACTGTCCTGTAACTAACTACGAATAAGAAGCTTATCTAATGGGAACAATTGAAAGAAGGGGCAATTGTTGAGTCCACACATTCCTAAGCACTGAGATAAGTATTGTTTAAAAGAAGTCTCGTTATTAAAACGGAGACGTAACTTATATATATATATAAGTTATGGTTTCGATGTAAGAAACTAATTTTTTAAAAATAACGTTTATTCAATATAAACTATAACTATACACAAGGATTCTATTTTAAAGTGTCTATACTGTTCGGAGTCACGAGTGGATCGGTGCTGAAAATCATTAGTAAGCATATTGAGCACATCATTAAGATCTGAGGGGTTTCTAGCTTGAAAAAGAGAACTCATGGGTTCTCTTAATCCCTTTAATAAAATCCTTAAACCTAATTTCCTACAGAACTCACCCGGAGTGTCAGCATCGTCCAGCATTACATTATTGAGATAACTAATTTGTAAATTTAAAAGTTTTTGAATCTTTTCAAGAAATTGAAACGGACTCTCGTTAGTTTGTAATTCTAGAAGAAATTTAAAGTTCAAGGACTAGGGTGTAAATGTCCCTCTTGTCTGAGTAACAGGTTAACAATGCATTTTTTATTTCAGGCCAACTACCTGCGCCTGAGTTGAAGACTATTTCCGCTGCCGGTCCCTGAATTTTCGAATTGATACTTGCTAATAAATACTCATTTTGAAAATCTCCCGGATTCGTCAGTATATAAAATTTGTCAACTAATTTTTGAGAAATACCAATGAACCTTGCTAACACTTCAGGCTCGCCCTTAAAAGTGGGTATCATGTTGAGATACTCGCTTTTTAGCGTTTCTAGAAACAGGGGATTCATGATTTTATGAAATTCTGTACTAATTGTATGTACCTTATGTTTAATTTTACACGATTTTTCAATCCCTTTTTTAACTTGAAATTTACGTGAAAACTGTTTTCTTAAATCTCTTATAAGACCTATTTTGTTGGTGGCAATGGCAATGGCTAAATTTATAAAAGTTTTTTTAATCAACTCACAGTACTAGGTGACACGCTTCCATGAGAATTCCTGTGTAGAGTTCTTCAATTGATTGGTCCTTGCGGTAAACAATTGAATTGAAGAAAATTATATTCCCTAATTTTCTCCGCAGGTGTCCTACCGACTGCGCCAGTTATGGTTTCGATGTAAGAAATTTATCTACATTTTATGCTTGCAATACATCTCTGAAGTAAAGACGTGAAGATAGTGAAAGTTAAAAGTAATTAAAATTAATTAAGGGTTTTAGTTGAGATAAAAAAGTCAGTATCACAAGCGGGATTCGAACCCACGATTTTTGCCTAGATATGCCACTGCTCTACCACTTGAGCTATTATGACAATTTTATCTCCACTAAAAACCTTAATTAATTGAAAGATATTAATTGGTCAAGCGGACCACGAAAACTCGTGATGTTAAAAGAGATACAATTTGTTTTGATTCTTCCAGCCTTATTCATTTCTGTTTGTTACCTACCATTATGAGTAGTTGTAATCTTAAAAAAAAAATTAAAAATCATAAAGTGAAAACATAATTATAAAATGAAGATTGTGACTAGAGTTTCGTCACCTTAAAAAAGCAAAAATGACCTCAAACACTGCATACAGCACAATACACACAACTTTTCAATTTTTGACTAAAAGTAATTCGTAATCTCGCAAAATGTGGTTAATACGTTTTGGAAGTGAAAAATTCCCCGCCCACCCGGCGAAAGTTGGCGCGGCAGGGTACAAGATCCGGGAATTCGGCCTGTTAGTGGATGACATTGTAATTTACATTTCAAACTGGTGTTTGCCTTGTAACACGAGCAGAATAAAATCAGAATTTGGCCACAATGAAATAGAGTTTGATTGTTTAGCAAGCCTTGACCAGCCAATATAGAACTCTTAAAACGCCAATTGTTAAAGAAAAGAAACATTCTTGTATGCTGTCTGATTTCAACGTTAGGTTATATTTAAACAAATCATAAAATTTTCAAAGCAAACTCTACATTTACATCAACCCAGAGGAAAAAATAATAAACTTATTTATAAAAAATGATTTTTTTTTCATCACTTGGATTTCTAAAAAATTTCGTTTAATTAACTACAAATTTATTCAAAATAGTTCTTTCAATAATTTACCGTATTAAATTAGTTTTTAAAAAAGTATACTATTTATTACACAGCAAGGAAATACAAAACTGGTATAACCACTTCCAATTAGGGAATCTTCGGTCTAGGTCAAAAGAGGAATGCGAAGGGTTGCAACAGATAAGGGTCAAGCGAGTAGGTAACACCTCCCCCTTTAAAAAAAAAAAACTTTCTTCTGGAAGTTGGACCTTAAGATTCCCTATTACAATACTACAATAAGTTACATTTCACCTTCACTATTAAATGTATCTAATGTAGTTTGAATTTGATCTGTGGGAACTACTGCCAATATATCATCTACGTATTTAATGAGGAAGGGTAATGTGAAAGGAAGTTGTGGTAAGACTGTGTTTAATAGATGTATCATAATTATGTGTGCAAGTATTGGGCCTAGGTTGCATTGTATAAATTCAATTTTTTCCACATCCTAAATGTATTTGTTAAATGTAAACAATGTTTGTAAATCCCAGGCCCTGAAGATGATCTCAATAAAGATCGAAACGTTGGCACGGTAAAGAAAATGTTTTTCTGAAACCTACATCACACCAGACCGCATCTCACAATTTCTGAATAATTATCGATTAACGGTCACTAATCACATACACTTTTAATTCAGTCTTTCCTTTTTTCTATTTTGTCTCTGTAAAAAGACATTTGCGATTGGGGTTGTCTTATATGGGAGTGTGTGTGTAGATTCATTACTTATGGGCTGTTGATCGGAAAAATAAAGAAAAAGTTTATAATCTTCATTTATAGTTAGTCTCACTCAATTTGTATTAAAAGTCAGGAATAAGGCCAATTTGGGACAAAAGAAAAACAGTACCTTCATCAATTTTTTGAGGAATATACTTCCTTTATCAGGACTTTCATTTATATTATCATATATAATGACCATTGATATCAATAATATCAAAATAAGTTAATCATTATTGTTACTAATAAGATTTTATGCTGTTCATCTGAAAACAAAAATCTAAAAACCTCAGGAATGGATTGTAATAAAAATTGGGAGCATTAACACACAAAACATATACCATGTATTTTGAAATTTGTACATAAAAATTGATTTACAAAATGATATTCGCCCTGTGATATTCATTAACCCATGAACTGATTTAGAATCGAATACTAAGAAATAAGTTTAAATTGTTACAATACAATTTACAAGTTGTATGGCACCAATTTTTTTCCAGTTTAATATAAAAAATGATTGTTTAGCAATAATAGCTTTAAAAGTTTACTTTATATACCACTGCTAACACTCTGTAAAATACAAATGACATGCCTAAAAAAAATGTTTAAGCGACAAGTAATAATTTAAATATCACAAAACATGACTGATCTTAGAAAACACCGCTCCTTATCAAACAAATGTACAAGTTATTTGATCTAAAAGAAATAACTAGACATAACATGTTACGTAACTTAAAAAAAATCCAATTACATTTATTTTAAACTGCGTGGTACAATCATGTTTTATCACGACTTTATCAAGTCTAGGAGTATTGTATTTTTTTAATTATTAGGAGGCACACTGTGATATCAATGTTATTATTTTTTATTATTATTATTGCTTTTGTAACTTGCAATAAGTTCAATGTTCCAAGTCTTTTTTTTTAATTGGCACAGATTGTAATGACAATATATAATAAACAATATGCTACAATTAACAATAAATTGATTTAAATAAATTTTCATTATAAAGCTGCAAAATTCTAATACTCTCAGTATCACAGATACAAATAAGTGACTAAAAATTTGGCGAAACACTTAAAACTTAAATTGCTCTGTTTTTTAAATGGATATATGATAAATAGAGATTCATAAACTTTAAAAGAAATATTAGTTAACAATTAAATTCAAATTTACATACAAAAATCTGCAAAATGATGAACATATGTATCTTTGTTTGAAATGTTAAAAAATCTTTGTTAAAACATGCTGAAAATCGTGTTGTTTTATTTATTTTTTAATGAGCATTGTCACCAATTTTGCATGTTTATTTGAATTTAAATTGAAAGTTTACGTAAAGAATATTTAAAAAAATACAATTATATTATATATGATATTTTAATACAAAGCACTCATAGAAAAACTCGGCGAAAATATGGAAGCAAAGAGGAAAACATTAAACAGCCTTTATGCCATAGGTTTCATAAGCATTATTTGTGAATAATAATGCCATATAACAATACATAACAGCAATTATGAAAGTATGTAGTAAGCCATTTTTTCTATTTCCTTTTCTAAACCTAAATTTTTAAAAGATTTTCCGTAAGTTTATTGTCTTGAGTGAACAAAACCTATCAGTCTTTTAAATTCATTTTTCAAATTTTGGTTGATATGCCAGCTCACTGTGTCATTAAGAGATAATAAGTAATAATAAGTACATCTTAACTTACCCCAGATTTGGATCAGCAAAGCTAACAGTTAACCTAAACTGTATTGTCATATCTTTATATTTCAAGAACAAGAAATGAAGTTTCATAAGCAATGTATGTTGTGTCATTTCGTTTTTCTATGAAAAAAACCATCTTTTATTTATTCTACTTTATTTTCCTTGTGTCAAGAAAGCTCTCTAAGTATTGGCTCAGTGACCATTTTGTCTCTTGTAGCATGATATGCTTCTCTTTCTTTGTCTGGGAACTTAGTCGGAAGGTTTGGAGAATGGAGGTGAACTTTGGCCGAATAAAGCCTGCCCCCTATGTCAACCTCATAATTGCCTGAGAGTACGTAGTCATTTGTCACCCTCTGTGGTACACCATTTTCATCAAAGTTCTGGACGAATCCTAGACAAATCTGAAACAAAGAGCCACAATAAAAATTAAGTGCGGTGATTCAGTGGGAATCACTTGGTCAAGAGAGTAGGCATAGCACGAAAACACAGAATGTCATTTGAAAAAAGTAGAACTGGGAAACTTTTTGTTCAGTGGAGGAAAATAATTCTTGGTATATTGAACCCCTTCCATGAATCCACCCCTTTTCGCACAGTCCCGCCCACCATCAATTTCGTTTAAGCTTGGAAATCTAATTCAACACAGAATTAAGTTTACACATTTCGTTTTCTACAAATTAGCAGTTAATCTTGTAAATGTTTGTATGCCTTCTTGTACTAATGCTTAAAGCCCCTTGGGATTTGACAGGATGTATGCGGAGGGGTACTTCTTTATATTTACAATACTCGGCTAGTTGCTCTTGCCGTCTGTGAATGAGCAAGTTGAATTTTATCGTAGCACAATCAGCAATTACAAGGAGGATGGTCAAAGCGTACGGAAAGTTCTTGGAAAACATATAGTCTTGACTTTTTGTTTTTTATTTTTTTAGAACTGCATACAAAGTGCAACAAACTCAAATTGCTACATACATGCACATTTACATATTTCGTGTGAATGATTTGAATAACCACCATCGAGTGAAAGTGGCCATTATGGCATGCAGTCAACAGCAGTCCCTACAGTTGTTGAAGTTACAAAATCAGATGGTCGCTAGGCCACCATTACTTCAGTCTTCTATGATTTTTAAAGGAAGGGTTGAGGATGGACAGGTTGCGAATTGACCAGTATTTATGAGAGGATAGTTTCAAGTGAATTTTATTGTTGCCAGGTTTGGGGCGTAGGGTATAATGAGATCGGAGTGGATAGTGGGGTCAGCTCTACAGTCAAAAGATGAGAGACCCATCTGGTAAAGTTCTGTAATGTATATTTTGACAACTCCTACTTGCTATTTCAGTTATGAACACTGGATCGTTATGGTCTTGAAGAAGAAAGCAAATTTAGTTGCTACTACAAACTTTCGGCCTATTTTAAAGGTCATCATCAGGGCCTATTTTATTTAAGACTTAACTATCAATATAACTGTAAAGAATATACAAAACAACCTTAACTATCTCTACAGATTGACATATTTAAGTTTTTACAGGTGATTTTTTTTTTTTTTTTTGAATGTGACAATTCATATATGTGTGTTCAAATTTGGGGGGGTTATTGTGAAAAAAGGGCCAGAGGCGATGGTGGGAATCGAACCCACGACCGCGGCGTGAGAGTCTCTCATGCTAACCACTCGGCTACCGCGGTCCCCCTACAGGTGATCTCAAATTTCCTTGAAGACCGACGCAGTCCCAACATTACCAAGGATGTATCAGTGTTTCAACCTTATCCCGGAGGTCCTCCTCTCGTTATCAAAGACCGTTTTTGTAAATTAATAAGACCTTCATAAATTGAACTTAAGCCCATAGTGTTTGTTTGAATGATTATTCATAAATCGTGAGGAGGTCTGGTGTGATGTAGGTTTCATAAAAACATGTTATGCCAACGTTTCGATCTTTATTGAGATCATCTTCAGAGCCTGGGATTTACAAACATTGTTTAAATTTAACAAATACATGTAGAATATGGAAAAAAGTGAATTTATACAATGCAAAAAAATATGCTTTTTATATTCAATCAAAGTATTTTTACTCACTCAAAGTGTTTGTCTTCTGTGTAATTGTGCTATTCTTGCGTGTCGTGTTGAGAGTGCCAGTGAGATATTGCTGTTTTATGTTTATATATGCTGGATTTTGAAGGGGTGGGGAAGGAAGTTGGTATAGAAAAGACATTTTTGTATAAGGCGTCGGCTTCTTTGAGGTGAAAATAGTCGACGAAGGGAAAAAACGTTGGTAATGGTTTGGCCAGATTATCCTTTCAGGATTAGACATGGATAAAAACGAAAGGGAAAGCTAAATTGTTGAAAAGTTAGACTAGGTGAAAATGTTTGATGTGTGGAATGTGATATGATGATATATGTATGTTATCTATATTGAATTTGATTAATGATATTGGCATAGCTGCGACTGAGTTTACATGTATCTGTTCTGTAATTGCTGTGCTTATCTCCGTTGATGTAAACCATCTCTAAAAAGTTACGTTTATGTTTGTTTTGTTCTGTGTGTAATATTTTTGGATTGTTGAAGTCGAAATTGTGTTTGTGTTCAAAATGGTGGATAGCGAGTGCTGCAGGATTTTGCTTGGGTTTTTTGCAATCATAGATGTTGCTTATTCTCTTGTCCAGATATTGGGATGTAAGACCGATGTAAGTTGCCGGACAGTTTAAACAGTTGATCTTGTAGATTACGTCAGATTTATTTGTTATTGGTGTGGGATCTTTAATTTTGGAAAAAAGTGTTTGAATTGTTTTATAATGTTACAAATATTTCAATTAATTATTCTTTTCATCTAAAGTTTTTGGCTGACATGAAAAACTAGTGTCATGAGCAGGATTTGAACTCACGACCTTCAATTAGACACTAAACATAAAATGGGTTACAAATATTATTTTCCATTTTAGTATGTAGAACCTCTTTTATTCTTCTGAGTAATTGAAACTCTTTGTCAATTAATTCAATATTCCAAAAGTTAAATTTATGCCTAGTTGATATTGAATGTTTTGATAGTCTGGTAGTTGTTAAGTTTGATAGTAGAGAGGTAACAAATTGCACTTATGTTCTCTTCCATAACGCTGGTCTAAGGACTCATGTTGCTGGATCATATTCATTTTCAAAGGTAACCGTTTGTTGAATCTCTTACATAAGGCAACAGTTGAGCCCTAGACATTGGCTCTAGCCACCTGACATCCCTACCAACTAACTTCAGACTCCCTTCCTTCTGCAGTTTTATTTTTTATCTTGTTTGTACATGGCTTTTACCCCAAGAGCAGCATAATGGGAGGGTCACCTTGTGTTACCTAATGAACTGTAACGGTGGGATGATGTGGTTTATACAGGTCTGTTAATGGAATTGGAGTGAGTCTGGAAGAAAGTGGCAGAGTCTACAGGTGGGAAAAGAGCGAATATTCAAGGCCTCTGGCAAAGCAAAAGAAAGGAGCTCTGGATGAATGTGGAAAACGCGCTTTTCAAGAGTACGGATGAGGAGACATTACTTGGCCTAATGGAATTTACAGGGCCTCTGTCCAGCAAGAAGAGGAGGCTAAACAGAAAGTACTGTCTAGGAAAAAGGTGAAATTGGTATACAGAGATGTAAAGGAGGGCGACACTCTCTTTGCTTCCCCTCCTTACCTTCCCACATATTTCCAAAGATAGGTTCTGTGGTCCCAAAAGACACAATATACTCTAAAAGTAGCCACTTGCTCACTTTAAAATGAAGATCTTAAAAACAAAAGTCTTGTTTATATTTGAAATTGCCTCATATTAGTTAATTGGATTTATAATTGTTGTAACAAAACCATGAAAGAAAACTTACCTGGCTTTTGAATGTAAATCCATACCCAGTGGTCGTTGTAGCACCGACATATTTCCCGTCCCTGTAAATTGGCTCACCTCCCCAGGACCAGAGTTCAGTTTCTGCATCATGGTCAGTAAGCACTAGTTGAACATACATACGTCTGACGCCTTCCTCTCTTTGTTTTAAAAGTGCATCTCGTCCAATAAATTCCCCTTTCTACAAATGAACAAGTTAAGGTAAAGAGAATTGTGAGCCAATGAAATAGGACCAACTTCGAATTTAACACGCCAAGTCCTCCCACATTCTAACGGTGTTGTTGTTGTGTCAAGATCTTGCCCCCAAAATGCATAAAATTTCTCTACTCTCAACGCCCTCATTGCATAATAGCCGAAATGCTTAATTCCATATTTTTCACCTGCTTCGATTATTTTATCATATACATGTAGGGCAAACTAGAACAGACAAAATAAATGTATAAAATTAAATGAAGAAACGCAGGAAAGAAACAGACAAACCTCATTCGGGATGTAAAGAACATAACCGAGTTCTCCTGTATGAGTTAAATTCATCGCTCTTATGCCATTGGCACAGCCCACATCGATTTCCTAAGCATACAAGCATTAAAATCCATAATAAATAACATTTCAGAAAAAATAATTCACCTTAAATGTGAAAAATGGGAAATGTTTTGGACTTAAATCTTGATCGGTAAGCTCTGACAAAAGAGATCTTGTCAGAGGCCCCATTAGACAAATAGCTGTATACATTGATGTCACGTCTGCCAGAGACACTGAACTGTCTTTAGGTAGATGCCTCTGTATCCAAACTTTGCATCTCGTTTGTTGAATCGTTGGTGCAATCATCATGTAACTAATAAGTAAATTTTGTTGAAACTTTGAACTTTTTAAAAAAAATGATCATTCATAAGACTTACTGGTTTGGTGCAATACGAATGAGACTGCAATCATTTTCATAACCACCTGATTCATTTTGCATACCGGAGTGAATAATGCTTCCAATAGAAACGTCAACATCATTGCTGCATAAATATTGTAAAGCTTTTACGACTTCATCCCCTTTAGACTTAAACCACAATCAATATAAATTAAATTTTTGTATAATCAATGAAAAGTATAAGAAACATACCCATAATTCAAGTTTGGTAAAAGAAGAATAATCGCTTATTCCTACAGATTCTCGGCAAGCATCGTATTCACACGCAACATAATCAAACCAGGGTGGCTTCCCAAAAGTGTTTGTAGTGGCTATTCTGAAAGACGACCCTCCATCCTTCTGGTCTAACATTGTCAGTAAAACAATAACTTAATTTTGAATCGTTAAAATTATAATAATGGTTACCTGGCTGAAACCAAGCAGGTCGTTCGTAGCCCATGACCTGGCCAAAAACTGCACCTGCATCTTTAAGTTTTGGATAAATAGGTGACATTCGAAGATTTCTGCCTGTCTTAAATTCATGAAAAGGGTACATCAATCCATAATGCAGTCCTTTTTTTAGACAAATTGTGCAAAGTATTATTTTAAATGGCAGAAGAAGAAATTATAATATTATTGACTTACCAGGAACTTCACTAACGCGTTCTTTTAAGAATTTTGTATTATTGTGCAGACCTAAGAACCTGGTGATATCAATTTCATACATATCATAAGAAGTGGTTTTTGTAGTCACAAGTTCCGCTAATGCTTTGCCGACGCCGCCAGCTGCTGAAATGCCTACAGTCTTCATGCCAGCAGCTACATAGTAATTTTCAATCTTTAAATTAATTCATTGTAATTTAATTTTTGAAAAGAAAGAAAATTACTATGAATATATGTAAGAAAATACTGTACCTCTGGAGCTTCACCAACAAGCCATTTGCAGTCAGGTGAAAAAGCTTCAGGGGAATTTGTCAATTTATGAACCGAAAATTCTCCCAAGGAAGGTACCCTGTGCAATATTTGCTCCAATAGAACATGAAAATGATCCCAATCTTCGGGTAATCGGCGTTCGGCCTGACTCCCTGCAAAAATTTGTTTCATTGCTCAACATCCAATCAACCATGATAGATAGAATTACTTGGAATGATTCCATCAACGTAAGCCGGTTTTGCTACCGGTTCGAAACCACCGGCAATTATGTAGCCATTACATTCTCTAAAATAAATATGCCCGTCTTGATCTCTAACAACTAAAAAGCCAAAAATCTCATGTTAAAATCTCATGATGAACCATTTTCCAACCTTGCAAGTTGATACCTGGGGTTAAAGGATCAACTGGAGGAATTGGTTTTGTCAAAAGGTAATAATGTTCAACAGGATGTTGTGGTATTTTGACAGGTGGATTGCTTTTCATTCCAAGCTCTCTTGCCCAAAAGCCAGCACAGTTCACAAATGCCGAACACTTCACTCTACCTAGGTTTGTGTCAACAGCTTTTACTTTTCCACCATGACTAGAGACCTTCTCAACTGAACACAGCTCATAAATACGTACACCTAAAACCAAAAAATAAAAATTTGACAAAACAATAACATTAAAGCATTCCCATCGCCCCTCGAGCTGTGTATGTGACTTGGGAGGATGGTGGAATATTTATAAAAGTACCCCGTCGACCCCAATTGGATTATCGTTTATTGTTATTCGTTATGTATGCAAGTCGATTGAGCAATGTTGAGTACTCCATCTACTAAATAGAATGAATGCAACGTATAGGTATAGGTGTGAATGTATTTATTTGTGTGAATGCATATTGAATGTGTGTTGCAATATTTTGCATGCTCTCAGGGCTGAAATGACCAAGCTGTTGGATGCCCCTTTAAAAAAAATAATCAATAAATAAAAAAAATCAATCAAAAGTTTTCTAATTACCTTTGGATATAGCTGATTTTAATAGTGAGTGGCAAAGTTTATAAGGGTCACCCACACCATCTCCTGGGATCCAGAGACCACCTTTTAAATCATCAATAGCAATAAGAGGACAAAGTTCTCTGGCTTCTACAGGCGTTACCAATTTACACTCAATATTCCAAGACCTAAGCAGAAAAAAATTAACATTATTATTATTATTAATTTTTAAGGGAAAAATTAACATTATTTATATAGTCACTAATTTCGTGGTCTGCTTGACCAATTAATATATTACAATTAATTAAGGTTTTTAGTTGAGATAAAAAAGTCAATGGCACAAGCGGGATTTGAACCTTCGAAGGATGGAAAACTCAAAAGGTGGGGTTGAGATAGGAAGTTGGTATCCGAGTGGATCGAGGTCACGATAGCTCAAGTGTAGAGCAGTGGTGTATCTAGCCGAAGATCGTGGGTTCGAATCCTGCTGGTGCCATTGACTTTTTTATCTCAACTAAAAACCTTAATCAATTGTAATTATTTATATAGTTCTTAGTTTTTAGACCCCTAGTTTATGTAACTTAAATTAAATTTTTATGCCCAACAAATCAAAATATCAAATATTTCGAATATTGACACATTCACCCAAGACCTAGTCAGCTAGGCCTGGGGACTATGCCTTGTCCACAGGTGTCATAAACAGCCTCATCAACAAGGAAGCAGGGAATCACCAGTCCAGGACACAAAAACAAGCCGTGCCAGCGAGGACCAGGAAACCAAAACCATCCCAGGTCACATTCACAGTCTTGACAGCAAGGACCCAGGGTCTTCCCCCTCCAGGTCTTGTCAACCAAGATTCCTAACCTGAGGCTGCTCCTGGCTAAGCAAATGTATAAAACAGGCCAGGACTAGAGATGTCAGAGTGAAAAGTCAGATTCTGAACCTGAGTCATTGTTGGATAGATGGAGTCAAATACCGAGACATCCATCACCTCATTTCAGAGGCAGAGTCTTCTCGAGGAATTCATTAGCAGAAGAGGGTCCCAAGCAATCCATTCTTCAAGATCAATGACCCCACATGAAGACTGTACGCTGCAAAATCAAATGGATTGTATAACTGGCACCACCCCATAAGCTGGAATATTTATTAAAGCTTCTTGGCCATACAATGCAAATTTGTATTTATTATTTTTATTGTATAATGTCATAATTCCATTTCTTTTTCCTGTAAAATTTACATTTCTATAATAATGTATAGAATTCTTCTCAGAATCATATCTATATAGTGCAAGAATAGCTTTTCTAGATATTGTAATTGCCGTCATTTACAAATGATGTGTTCCTGTTGTCTCTGTCTATTTTATGCAGCATTGGTCATCTGACTGTCCCATTTTGTAAAATGGTGTTTTACTGGAGCATGTCTCATAATACAACTGTAACGACACATTATGATTTTAGTTACTTTCTGTTAAGAAGGAATTTCTCTTTTTCGCATTGGGTTATTAGTGGTGGTGGTCTTTTTGCTCGCCTTATGTATAACCCAATATTCCATCTATTTTTTAATTTGGGTATTATTTATACCATGAAAGGGGTGTTGTATCAAAGCTCCCCTTTTAGCTAAGCCTGTTGCCTTGTCTGAATTTCTTCGACGTGAAACCCACCTTAGTGTTAGACAGGTTTTTAAGTCTAGTAGGTTGAAGAGAATAATCTCTTAGTTCCCTTGACCATTTAAGTATTTCTCAATTTTAATGTTATTTAATTATTCATTAGATGAAATTTAAAGACAATTGACAGCTTAATTAAACTCAAAGAATACTATTTCAAGAGCAATATTTTGACCTTCAATTATGCCGATAACTAATTGCCCAGTTTGAAGATTGGTTTCATGTGCTATTCACAATCAAAACAGTGTTGAATGTTATCACTCTCTGAAATCTCAGATTTGTCATACACAAATTTCAATAATTAATGTTCCTTTTTGTTACTAAATTATTGTTATTGCTCCCATGTTTTTAACTAGCTTGACCACCAATTGAATGAACAACTTAAGGAATTTCTGTAACAGTCACTCTTAAAAAATTAAATTAATAAAAAACAATTATTACAATGCTGTAGAAGTAAGATGTATAAGCATTTAATGCAGTCAACCATTAATGTAAAATTTGCTTTGATATCAAGGTGTCGTTTGGAGGTTCTGAAATGTGGAAGGATTATCCTGACCCGGTTTAAATATAGGCTGTGCGACACACAGACATTTTGGGGCCATATATGAGTCTGGCATGTAAAGAAAGGTTGCTCAGTGTCCCACTAGATTGAAGATTGCCATTCCTTGATTTTTATAGTTATATAGTTTTATTTGTATAGTTATTATAGTTAACTATAACTCTATATATAGTTATATGTAGAGCATGAAGCAATTCTATTCTCAACTTGTCTGTACTGCTTCCTCAGTCCTTGTTTTTATCAACAGGAGGAAAAACAAAGCAGAGTTTCTTTCAATTTATTATCCATAACGTTTAATCACAATTCGTACAATTTCAAAATGCTTTGCTTTTGACAAACAAAATGACATCCATCTCCGGAACTGATTCTACATTCTGAATTTCACTAGCAGCCTGAACAGCTAATTCATTTCACACCCCAAAAGCACTGACTTATTATTTTTGAGGTAGAACTAAACTGGTTTTGGATCAGTTATGAGGATAAAGTTTGTGAAAATAGCCAGGGTGTCTGTGATTGGCTCTATACTATTAATACACAAACTGAATGTATCGGTTCTGTAAACACTGCAAAGGAGGCATAGAGAAAATTCCAATGACATCTTAGAACCTAGATTTTAAGGGGTATTAAATTTTTTGTCCATTAAACATTGAAACCAACCACTAAAAATAGAACTAGATAAAATTTTATTAATTGGTGAAGAAAAATCCATGAAGGAAAATGTTGTGACTGGTAGGTATATTTTTAATGATGCAAGTCAAGAAATAAATTTTTTAGACACCATCCTATTGTCAAATACTTGAAATTACCTCTAGTCCAAAGTCAATAAGTAAATAACTGATAACAATAAAAGGAGATATTTTTTAAAGCAATAAATTTATAAGGATTGTGCAATCGACAGACTTTTTTAGTTGGTAAATATTGACAAGACTTTTTAGAAGGCAATAGTAACATAAACATAAGCAATAATAGTGATAGTTATTCTTTTCATCTAGGTTTTTGGTTGAGATGAAAAACTAGTGTCACGAGTGGGATTTGAACCCACGACCTTCGGACAAAGTGCCTCAATTACTCAGAAGAAGAATAAAGGGGGTTCTACATACTAAAATAGAAAAGAATATTTGTAACCCATTTTATGTTTAGTAGCCTAATTGAACAAATTACTTATTTCAATTAATTATTCATTTTATGTAAGATCTTGGCTGATATGAAAAAGTTAGTGTCACGAGTGGTATTCGAACCCACCAACCAACCATGGTAAAAAGAGGGAAAATTTGAAGTTGAGAGGGGAGTTTGTGTCTGGGTGGATTGAAGTCACGATAGCTCAAGTAGTTCGAGCAGCGGCGTATTGAGCCAAAGTTTGTGGGTTCGAATTCCGCCCGTGACACTAGTTTTTCACGTCATCTAAAAACTTTAGATGAAAAGAATAATTCATTGGAATAATTAATATGGTCAATTATGGCCACTAAACAAATATGTTCGCGACAGTGTTGAATGTTATTGGCCTATCGCACTAACACCAATTTTATCAAAAGTTTTAGAATATGCATTTAAAAATAGGTTTCGTATGACTTTCTGGACACTTTCAACTTTCTCTTTTCAACACAGTATGGGTTAAAAAAAAAAATTGTTATAAAAAATAAGTTGAAAGTATTGTATAAATCTTTATGTAAGGTTTTGGTTGAAATGAAAAAGTTAGTGTCACGAGCGGGATTCAAACCCACGATCTTTGGTACACCAACTCCCCATCTCAAACTACAACCTTTCGAATTTTCCCTCTTTTTGCCATTTTTTGGTGTCCGAGAGGATCGAAGTCACGATAGCTCAAGTAGTAGAGCAGCGGCGTATTTATCCGAAGATCATGGATTCAATTCCCGCTCGTGACACTGACTTTTTCATTTCAACCAAAACCTTACAAAAAAGATTAATTAATTGAAAGAAGTAATTTGGTTAATAACTGTAAAAGTCCAAAATTTGGAATTTGGATCACAGCAGCTCTGAATTCAAACCCAACATACAAATAGACTTTATTGCAGGGTCAAATAATTAAACAAAGTAAAACATAAAATTAAAATATATTTGGACAGTTTTATTACATTATTATTTTTAGCTATTATTCAATGATAAAGTAATGTAATTCCTGTCATATAAGAGGGTTTAATTCATTGTTTATTTTAAAACATAATAACCAAAAGACAAAATAAATACTGATTAGTTTAGCTCAAGTCTTCACACATATGTACATACATGTTATGTAACAATTACTGCGCAATAGATAAATGTGCATAGTTGCACTCTCACCCCTTCTAGGCCAATGTTTGTTTTCCTTCTCAACCCAATCATTATTCTGTTACGAGCCATAGTTGAGCGCATATCGACTATAGTAGTATTAATAACTCCTATAGTGGTAGTTTATTTATAACTAGTACTTAGCGCAGTCAGTAGGTAATGCCAAAAGTTTTGAATGTACATTATTAACTTTCCATTTTAACGGTTGATCGATATACAAACTTAGCAGCGTGAGTTCAGTGCATATGAACTTCAGTCTCTACATTAGAAATCATCATCACTTATCACCAGCCAAAACCAGTGAATATGATCATAGAAGCCTCCTTTAATGCAACCGTATATTTAGTTTAACTCACAATTGTTTTTACCATTTTGAAAATTTCGTGACTTCGATCCACTCGGACACCAACTTATAAACATAAATATAATATAATATAACATTATAAAAATAATAAACCACCAGTATTGGCGTGTTTTAACAGTTTATTTAAATCCATTACTACTAACATTAATATGTAACTGACTAACAGAGTAATCCATATTTGCTTAGTTGTCATAATTGACCATATTAATTATTCTAATTAATTATTGTTTTTATCTAAGGTTTTTGGTTGAGATGAAAAATTAGTGTCGAGATTCAACCCACTTGAGCTCATGACTTCACAATAGCTCAGGTGGTTAGAGTAGCGGCGTATTGAGCCGAAGGTCGTGGGTTCAAGACACTGACTTTTTCATCTCAACCAAGACCTTCTATAAAGAGAATAATTAATTGAAAGGAGTAATCTGGTAAATTACAAATATTTATTTATAAGTACAAATTAGAAAAAATATATGTATATCTAAATAAGGACAATGAAAATAAAAATGTATTCCAAAAGGTGAGCGTAAACGATACAAAAGTACCGTAAAACTGAGCGCACTGAGCAGGCAAGAGGTGCAAAATCAGGAACAAAATTGGGTAGATGGTAGGAAAGGGTTAAAGGGCAGTGGCAAGAGGTAGACGAAAGTAGTGCTGCAATTTTGCAAAAGTTGGAGAGAAGCTGAGAAGGCTAGAAAAGAGAAGCTCGATGTTGATGAGGGTGGAAAATAAAGAGTGTGGGACATCTCTGTTCACCGTTATACACATCCGAGTATTCAGCTAGGGGTCCTAAAAGGCAAACAACCAGAACAAACACAACAATCACTGGTTATTAAGTGAAATGAGTCGATTAGCGGCCAATGTCGTATATAAATATCATGCCTGGCATTTTTACTGTGATTCATACCTGGATCGGGACCAAAAATGATCTCGCCACCAGGCCTAGGAGCATCCAAGCTCAGATGAGATATCTTGCCACTAGACCCAAAAAGAGAAACAGTTTGTTTTTTGAGAACATCAAAGGTCGCCAGGATTTAGTCTTCACCTACTCCTACAAACTTACCCATGTCTTAAGTGGGCATAGAAAAAATTCCGGAAAAACCCAAAATGCTTCAACCTCAAGGAGAATGACACCTGGTCCTGTAATGCTGTGGTACCCCAAACTTGCGAACACCTAGTGCTTGACTTTAATCTACAGGAGCCAATGAGGGCAAATCTAACACAAACGGCAGTTATCGGGGTTATCGGGAAAAAAGGGCCAGAGGCGACGGTGGGAATCGAACCCACGACCGCGGCGTGAGAGTCTCTCATGCTAACCACTCGGCTACCGCGGTCCCCACAAACGGCAGTCTTAGCAGGAAAAAAAGTGGCCAGTTTCATTAAAGGCAATATTAAAAGAATTTCATCAAGATGCAATAATTTTTATTAATTCAATGAACTTTGACCTAAAATAATTGTTAATAACAAAATTTAAAAAATGTAAAATGTGTATATATGTATGTATGTGTGTGTATATATATAAATCATTATAACATAAGTAATTAACAAACTATTATTTAACAAAATTAAATGAACATGATTAAAACAAAATATCTAACTGTATAACAAATAATCAAAATCAACAACATCAAATATAAATGTAATTTCAATCTATTACTTGTAAAAAAACTGAATGGACGATGTAATTTTTTATTTATTTTATTTTATTTTTTATTTATTTTAATTTTTTAATTAATTTATTTTTAATGAGAGTTTGCAACAGCAAAGGTCATATCAACCCTCAGGGTGCCAGTCTTTTTTTTAAAACCAATTCGTATGTCAGTTTCGAATGGAGGGCCGTTGGATTCGAACCCAGGACCTTTACCTTACAGTACCATGTTAACCGTTGCGGCCACTGACACCACCCGTTGATGTAATCTTTAAACACCTGTAATCTTAATAAGGGGCAGGTGGAAGTATATTGCCTCTTGCAAAGTTAACTTGTGGGAGGAAAATAATAAAAAAGTCCCAAAAAGGTCAAGGTAGCATATTGAGCATATTGGGACTTGATTATATAGACTTGCAATTAGTACTGTACTTACACAGATAGAGCTTTCATCCTACGGAAGACTGTCATGCGATCGTTGGTCCTCGCAAGGCACAGGCTGCCACATTTCTTCCATCCTGTGTCGTACCCTTTTGATTCCAGTTCTTTGAACATCTCCATGGAGGTCTGGCAAAGTCTGACCTGTGCCAGGGTGGGCTTGAAGATGCCAACAAGGCCTGAAGAGTTCCATGTCGGTGCTCCACCAATCCTGACAAGTTTAAAAATGGTTTATTCTGTTAGAATTTCAACTGAGGATGGATTTACTTGGTCTGTTCCACAAGAATGGTCCTGCCCCCCCAGCCGATCTCGGCCAGGTGGTAGGCGACGGAGGCTCCGATGATGCCGCCCCCGCAGACGACGACCTGGGTCTCCCTGGGCAGAGACTCGGAGGCGGAGGCGATCTTCAAATCCGAGAAATCGACCGGCCCGGATATCAGGGATCGGAGGCCGAGCCGTTTTTGTGCCAAAACGCGGAATAGCATCACTGATGGGACGGCCGAGTGGCGTGACTACATCACTCCAGTTCCATTCGACACGGGAGAGACGGAGAAATCGGGGGCAGGGCGAGACAGGTCAGCATTTTCGCGTCTAGTACAAAGTACAACTGAGAGGACGAAACAAACTGCGAGTCGAGACAGGTCGATTGAAACCTCCCTAGCAGTTTGACAACACATGACCTTGACAACCAACCCGTCTTGCCGTTTCTTATCGGAGATAAATCTTATCAAAACTAAATAGATATGTATTTTTACCATTAAAAAAGTGCACTTTCATTAAATTTAATAAATTACATTTATGTTGCTCGTTTAATAAGCCGAGGGGCTAATATTTTTTTCCAAATAATTATTCTTTTTATGTAAGGTCTTGGTTGAGATGAAAAGTTATTGTCACGAGTGGGATTCGAACCTTCAGCTACCTTGCACAAAAAGAATAATTAATTGAAATAAGTAATTTGGTAAATTAGACCACTAAACATAAATATATTAACATTTATTTATTTTAAAGGTACAACATAAAAGGGGTAACATTTATGTATTTAAAGGTAGGTAGGCTTTAAGCCCCTTTACATGTAATTATTAATAAATTAAGTTTTACAAACATAGTAAAATGATAATAACAGCAATAATAATCTACCCTTCATTCCTTTATATAATTATTCTGTCAATCATTCTCATTAAATCGGGAATCTCTTATTCCCGTTGGTGCCGAAATCCTTATCTCACATTTCTTTAACTTTAATTCATTATTCTCGGTGGTGTTCGTCGTGCGCCATTTTGAATTGGTTGCTGGCGAACAAGGCCTTTTCCCAAATTCTTATACCTTTGAATGTTTGTCTGCTAGTGTTTGAATGAGAATTCTGCACAGAAGATTTCTTTATTTTTTCAGTAATTTTTGAGGGTGCTAGAGCAGAAAAATGAAATTTAAAAAATACAAATTGCTGGGTAATAAACTAGTGTTTACGCCAATGTAAACATTTTTATTTATTAATGGTTGGTTGTTAAATCTTGTCATTTGTTATCTTAAATTTAACATTTTGAAGAATTGTGAAAACGGAAAATTTGTAAGGATTAAGACGCTGGAGGGAGAAACAGGACTTTTCAGCAAGACGTCGTAAAAACAGTGAGTCGCTGCCTGGTTTTCGACCTGTACGTACGAACGTACAACAGCTGTTAGTCGCTCTCCGGTTTCCGACGGGTACGAACGAACGCACCTTTGAGTTCGTCCGGCGAGTGGTTCCAGACTCCAATCAAGATAAACACAAAATTATCGTCTGATCTACACTTTCGTGGGCCGGCAACAGGACGTACGAACGTCTTTATTCTTTTTCTTCTCAACATTGTCATTGTATCAACTTATCCCTTTCTATATATCTATATTTCTTCTTGTTAAGTTTGTTTTATTTCTGGCTAGATTTTAGTTTCAGTATTTGTCAATTAATAATTGTAATTGATAAAATTAACTATCAAACGTGTTATGCCCTGACTGTTCATCTCCCCGATTTTGGGACTTTTTTTTTATTTCTCACCCATACATCTTCCTTCGAATACGGGAGAAGAACTGATCGTATGTTCGGGAAAAATTGAAACCCTTGGGCCAAGAATCGAGGAGTTCCTAAAGGGTAATAGAGCGGACTTCAAGAAAATAGATACCAAGTTACAGCACGTGACCAATCGTTTGTCACGGCTTTCTCCCGGATCCGATGAGGAGAAACAAACGAAGTCAAGGCTGTTGGAGGAGTGTTTGGAGTGGATGGAAGCTGTTTCCTCTGCAGTTGGACCACCCCAGAAGGTAGTCGAGGAAGAAGATCTTCTTGCGGGACCGTTGAAACCGGAGAAACATTCCGCTACCTCCCAGTAGCCAGAGAATGAGGGTGCCGAGGGAGAAACAGAAAAAGAGGAATTCACACCTCAATGGATCCCGGAGGAAACTCGAGTGGCCAGGGTCTTGTTCGAGACTCCGGTCGAGCCCCCTGTAGTACTTCGGAAGTCGCAGATTCCTCCCAAAGAGTGGAAAATTCATTTTTCTGGAGAGAACGATTAACTCAATCTACACGCATTTCTTGAAACAGTCGAAGAACTAATGCTCTCGAGGAACGTGAGTGAACGAGACCTCTTCGATTCGGCGTTCGATCTATTCCGGGGAAAAGCCTTGGTTTGGTACAGAGCTGTACGGAGAGAAGTCGGTACTTGGAAGGAACTAGTCGCCGAGTTACGAGCGGAGTACGAAACAGCAGACTACCATTTCCGGTTGTGGGATGAAATTCGTCGGACCCAAGGGCCAACGGAATCTATTTTACGTGGCGGCAAAGAAAAATTATTTCCATCGCCTCCCTCAGCTTCCCTCTCAGTCGGAAATGTTACAGGTTGTGCGAGGGAATTTTCAGCCCTATTACCTGGAACGAGTGAGCCTCCAGAACATTGAAAGCCTGAATCAGTTAGTGGCCGTAGGCAGGAAACTAGAAGAAACACGGAGAAGGATCTCGGCCCAACGGCCACCCCCTTGCCGAGAGATTCGTTGGAACCCGACCTAGCCTACACGCCCCCCAGTCAAAGGCAAGAAGTCAACATCCAAGCTATTGAGGAGGCTGTCTGCCCCTCAATAACCCGCCCAAGCCGGAGTTCCATGCGTTCAGGCGTTGCCCAGGCCCCAAGAGACAGTTTTGCACCGGCTGCGGGCGTAAAGAGATATTCAGGTAACAATGCCCAACGTGCCGGTCAGTCGCGGGAAACGGTCAGGCGAGTCAAGCCTTGAAAGTATCGGAGTAGTATAGGTGACACTTGGGGCAGACAAACATTATCCCCTCCATCTTCCCTGTCATGGCGTCTGGCGAGACAGTTTTTACCACCTCTTTTCCTCCTTCCAGACTCCCCCACCACTAGTCGTCGGGTCTGATGGTGCCTAGGAGTGACGTCACTTTGGCGTTTGACGACTGACGTTCCTGATTATGTGGACGAGTGACGTCACTTATTTTTTCACCACTATGGTATTTGATGAGGGTTGTGGCTAACTTTTTTCACCATATTGTGTCATGGGTTAAGAAAAACTGCAGGTTTGAAGAATATATTATTTATTTATATTATTTATAAAGTGTTACAATTAAAGAAATTCAATTTCGTGGTCGCCTTGGTATACTAGTGACATTTTTCGTTGTGTTTCGCCGTACGAAGTTAACACGTCAGCGGCGATTATCTCGTTGAAACGTTACAGGAGGAATACTCTCGTTGAAGAAGAGCCTCCGATGTGCGTAGGTCCGAAGTATTCAAAGTCGGCGACAATGGCATCGCCGTATTTCGTTGGGATTTTGACCAAACCCTTCACCTCGTAATCGAATCCTACATTTAAATCGGAAATTTTTCCAATTCTTATTGGGCAGTCCATCTATGTGAAATTAAGGTAAGTCAATATTTGTACGAAATAAATAAAGTTCATTCATATGTATTACTTTGTTTTATTTGGACGACCTGCTTCAGCGAACGCCTACGACGAAATAAACTTGGTTTCATCGACTGAGCATTATATTGTCAAACGTAGACTAGCATGTTCCTGCATGTCTAATCCCTATTGTTTGTGTGTGTGATTTCTTTATAAATACTCTTTTTTGATTGATCGAGGTTAAAGTCCATCATAGCAATATGATGAAAATAAAAGTGGTAAACAAACAAGTTCATGGATGTCTATCAGGTTGGGAATTATTTTTTGTTATTATTTATCCAATAAATTAAAATGAATACATGTATCTCTCTTAGTTTGTAAAGACTCCTCACTACGGCAAAGTGCAGATACGACGAGGAGGAGATTTGAAATAATTTTCATACAACAATTTTGGTTTGCGGGTTTTTTACGACAACGCCAGGCACCGTCCAAACGATTTCGTGTATCAATCTTCATAAACTTTGGTCACAATATCGACAAAAACTTTATGAAACTAAGGAATTATCAAAAGTCGAAAAAATTTTTTGAAAAGTATCTATTTATTCGATTTATCTAAATTGAAGCCTCGGTTGAGTCGAGAGTTGCGAGTTAGCGATTTTGGCCTGTTACTGGAAATTGCAACAGGCCAAAGTCGCTAACTCGCAACCGAGACTTCAATTTGGATAAATCGAAAAAAAATATACTTTTCAAATGTTTTTTTAGACTATTGATATTTCCTTAGTTTCATAAATTGTTTGCGGATATTTTGACCAAATTTCATGAAGATTCATACAGGGAATCAATTTGAAGTAGCAACAGGCCAAAGTCGCTAACTCGCAACCGGGGCTTCAAATTGGATAATTCGAAAAAAAAACTTTTCAAATGGTTTTTTACACTTGATATTTCCTTAATTTCATAAATTGTTTGGGGATATTTTGACCAAATTTCATGAAGATTGATTCAGGGAATCAATTTGAAGTAACAACAGGCCAAAGTCGCTAACTCGCAACCGGGGCTTCAAATTGGATAATTCGAAAAAAAATATACTTTTCAAATGTTTTTTTAGACTTTTGATATTTTGTTAGTTTCATAAATTGTTTGTGGATATTTTGACCAAATTTTATGAAGATTGATACAGGGAATCAATTTGATGTAGCAACAGGCCAAATTCGCTAACTCGCAAATTAGGCTTCAATTTGGATAAATCGAAAAAAAATATACTTTTCAAATGGTTTTTTAGACTTTGGATATTTTCTTAGTTTCATAAATTGTTTGGAGATATTTTGACCAAATTTCATGAAGATTGATACCGGGAATCAATTTGAAGTATCAACAGGCCAAAGTCGCTAACTCGCAACCGGGGCTTCAATTTGGATAAATCGAAAAAAAAACAACTTTTCAAATGTTTTTTTAGACTTTTGATATTTACTTAGTTTCATAAATTGTTTGGGGATATTTTGACCAAATGTCATGAAGATTGATACAGGGAATCAATTTGAAGTATCAACAGGCCAAAGTCGCTAACTCGCAACCGAGGCTTCAATTTGGATAAATCGAAAAAAAATATACTTTTCAAATGTTTATTTAGAATTTTGATATTTCCTTAGGTTCATAAATTGTTTGGAGATATTTTGACCAAATTTCATGAAGATTGATACAGGGAAACAATTTGAAGTAGCAACAGGCCAAAGTCGCTAACTCGCAAATGAGGCTTCAATTTGGATGAATCGAAAAAAAATGTACTTTTCAAAT